ATTGCTGGTTGATGGCCTCCCCCGGACTGCGTTGGTTGTGGGATTGTTTGACCATACTTCATCACGTTTGTCTCACTGCAGCTTGGTAGAGTAGGTGCCCAGGGCTGGTTCTGATATCCTCAGCCATGTACATCAACTGCGACCAGGGATGGAACTCAGGTCGTTGGGTTCATAGCACAATGTCTTAAAACCACTCTCTGCTGATATTTATATGTCGACCTGTATATTGCATGGAAAAACACAGATGCCTCTACTTTCATATGTTCAGGTTTCTTCTGTGTAACCCTCATTTCTTTTTCCATAAATAAATGGCTTAGGCGCAAATGCCCCATAAAGCCAAATTCTCGCTCTCTTTCACCCGCAGTTACCGACTTTGTCTCTGCACGCGTTTCCTCCCTCTCTGCAATTGCATACCTCCTGGCCACAGTGTCACAAGTTAATAATTCGCTCCGCAGTGCTCTGTTTTGTAGTCATTTGCCGAATTTCCGCGTGGCCCCCGTAGGTCATGCACTCAGATGACAGGAACGTTGGCCCCGGCAGCGCATTTTTCTACCGCATGCCATTAGGGCTTCCACATTTGCACTAAAGCATCTTATAAATACCACCCGGCTCCGGGCTTGACAGCTCTGCTGACGTATGAAAGAGCATTGCTTTTCGGGGGGTGATTTTTTTTTCGCGGCCAAAAGCAACAGCATCTAAATGCCACCGTGATAAAAAAAAGGGGTGTGCGCACACATTTCGTTTCTCTCGCGGTCGTATGAAGTGCGGCAGCAGCATGGCGCTGTGCGTTCGGTTGACGTGTCACGGTTGTTACGACGGTTGGCTGAAAATGCACGTTTTGTTGTTGTTTTGTTTTCAGTGTTATTGTAAATAAAATAAAATCGATACCTCTCTGAGCTTTGAAACAGCTAACCCGGTACAGAGTGTAAATTAACCGAATGTCCCCACGTCGTGTGTCTGCTGTTACCAGGACTTAATTTCAAGCCGATCTGTCTGGGCCATTGATCCAGGAAACATGTCCACACCAGCACTCCACATCTAGCATACCTAACCCCCTATGGCTCTGGTTACCAGTAATTACATGGCACCTACCTCAGTCTACCACCTACCCCAGTCGATCAGCAAATTGGACAATATTTGGTGAGAATTTCAGAATCATAATCTTGATTTAGACTGGAGGAATCTGATTAGCTATGAAGCCCTTTTTCACAGATGTCCAGTAGGGGCAGGTCAGTAATTTAATACCTGGCTGGCACTGGTTCTGGGTGTGTGGATCAGAGATAGTGAGACCACTGCTCGATCCATGGACTGAGGGGTCAGAGGTCAGAGCACTGGGCTAGCACTGCTATAGTTTTAGGGTCCAAATCCAGGCAACTGCCTTGTGATTAAACCGGTGTAGTGCATTGGTGGTCTCAGCCCAGTCATCAACAACTACACACACAAAAATCATGCTTGGTCCGCATTTAAATTTGTATAAATTCAGCTGTGAGAATTAAAAATATCGGTTCAACTGTCATTCGACAGTCTCAGAGTAGAGTTTATGAGAAAGTGCATTCCCTCCTGTGTTCATAATTAAAAGGCTACTTGAAGGATCTTTCGGGAGATGTCATGTGAAAAATATCATCCACTCTCTGGCACATGGGACGTATCATCTGTGAGAATGCCAAGTGGATTTGAAATCTCGCGACATGGTGCCAATAGCATAATTGGAATACAATTGAGAGGGGAAAAACAACCAAAGCAAGAAGGGAAGAGCAAGTTTAATTCCCTTGACACTCCTCACTTTTCCGTACCCACCCACGACCTCCCAACTCTCGTCTTTATCTGTGACCTGCAAGAGCTCATTGCTGTAATTACCACATCTTCACGTTGATAAAATACTTAAATAAGTTCTGTCTCCTCCGAGAGACGTATCCTTCTAATGAGCATCGTAAAAATGTCCCATCTTCTGTATGTGCGCACATGCGATTTTGATTGAATGTATTTTTTGACAAAATGATGCCGTTTTAAGTTCAAGATGAACTTCACGTGGTCGCTTCCATCCAATCACTCGCAGTTATAATTGGGACATTGCTGTAAAATAAAATGCGTGCACCAAAGTACCCGATGTCAGGAGTGGCTGTTCGAGAAAAGAAAAAAAGATCCAATCGTTCCGTTACTCCAATGTATATGAAACCATTGTGATTTGAATAGTTTTGAGTTTATTTTATTTGTTACACGGATGGTCTGTGGGTTATGCCTCCTGCCCTTTCTTTAGAACTCAGTGTTGGCTAAATTATATGGTGATACATTTTTTACATATTTTAAGGCGGGTGTTATCGACAAACGAGTTGGGTTGTTTTAGCGTCAGTTCCATTGCTAGAGAAAACAAAATGGACACGTGAGCATACTTACCCAGCATTTGTGTGATCTTTACCATCGATAATCTTTATTTGTAATGAACCTCCCTTTAAAATAAAATGTTCTACTGTCATTGACGTTTTTTGACAGAACATTTTAAAACTTAATTGGCGTTTTCTGTTTACCTATTTGTCCTGAGCATGTTTTCAGTAACAACTGAAATGACGGAAATCGTCTGACCGGGCCTCATGATTTCTACACTAAGCAGAGTTGAGTTTTTTTTCTTCTAAGAGTTAATTGATTCATATGAGGAGAGGGGGTCCCATTAAACATTTTACGTGTAAGTTTTATCCGGACACTTCTTGCATTTTGGTGCTCTTCCTTAATAACAATAATAATAATAATAAAAACACATTTCATTCATCACCTCTCCATTCATCGATCGGCTCTGGAAAGAGACGCAAGCTGTCAACTGACAGGAACCTTTTGCCAGATGTCCCATCAGCTCCATTCACAATGTGCCCCGATGCTCGATGCTCGTTGCAAGTCCGGGCCAACTACTTTGTTCGCCAAGACTGAACTTACAATTCACAATGAATAAGTAATGATTGCAAAAAACCAAAGGGCCTCCTCCATTAAGCCCCTTACGCAGCTTCGTGAAAGTGGTCTACGGAAATTTGTAGATAATTTAAAGGAAACAAGGTTGTTGCTTGTTTTTCAAGTGCCGAATGTTCCACCGGTTTTCCAAATCTCATTTCCGGTAATTCTATTCTGTTTATGCGCTTGGCAACAATATGTTCATGAACTCAATGTCAATGTCAAGGTCTGCTGGCCACGACGAGCGGGCTCCAGGAGATAGAGTTCGTGTCGTTTTGCTATTTCCTCTTCATTTGAAGGAGCACAGACTACAGTGGTTCACTATACAGTCCATAGGATATGTTGCATGTCCACAATCGCACTGCTGTGGCTTGTCTTTCATGCATCTCTATCTTTGTATCTTTGTGTCTCTATAGGTTTACAATATGGTCTATAGGTTGGGTTACATGACCACAATTGCACTGCTGTGGCTTGTCTTTAATGCATCTCTATGTGTCTGTAAGCATTTCTATGGATTTACTTTATGGTACATAGGTTAGATTGCATGGCCACGATTGTACTCCGGTGGCTTGTCTTTAATGCATCTCTATGTATCTCTATGTGTCTCTATGTATCTCTATGTGTCTCTATGTATCTCTCTGTGTCTCTATGTATCTCTATGTGTCTCTATGTATCTCTATGTGTCTCTATGTATCTCTCCGTGTCTCTGGGTTTATACTCTTTGGTTCTTTCGGTAAAGTCACGTATGTGTCTGTATGTGTCTGTATGCAATAAAATAAAAATATATCACGACGTTTTGTGTTGCGCCCGAAACGTCGTGATCTATTTTTATTTTCTACCTACGTGACTTTACCGAAAGAACCAAAGAGTATGGATTCGTGCAGTCACAAAAGCTTCAAATCTTTGGGTTTACTTATACGTTCCGTAGTTTTGGGTTGCATGGCTGCATGGAAGTAGTGGAATACGCTTTCCTGAAGGAAGAAATAAACAATATATGAGGAATGGCATTAGTTTATTTCTTTGCTGACTCTGTCCAGCCACCGTCATGGTGTAATTTGTTATCCTGAGTTAAACCGCCGCGTGCGCCTATCAATCTGGGTAATAGTAAGATGCACAATAATTAAGTTATCGATTTTTTATTGTAATTAACCTTTTGAAATAGCCCCATAGCAAAGGCATTAAATTGATGATAAGAATAGTCCACAACTCAGATCGCTCTGCGATGTTCCACAGGGCTGCCTGTGTGCGTCGGAAAGTTTTACGTTGCACATTTCTCTTTTTTGCCCGCTCGTTTCCGTTGTTGCAATGTTTACAGTTCGTTTAAATTCGTGAGGTGGAATCTTATATAGAAGAATTTATTTTAGGAGCTTTGCATGTTCTGTAATATTTTACGGTTCATTTGATGCGTTGCAGACGTATTTGTGTAACCGTCGTTACGACGTTATGAATGCAAAAAGTTCGCCAAAGTGCATTACAGTCACTTTACTCGGGCATTACATTATTCGGTGATGGTGCTGCTTCTACTGCGTTGGCAGCGATGCACTAACACAATCAGCCACAACAAACGCAACGCATTTGTCAATAACGCTATCGTACAAAGAAAGAAGTGTACAGTAGACAATATTTTGGGAATGGCCCATCTTCACGGCACATAGAGGATGTGACGATGGTACGTTGCCACAAATTTAGCCGATTTCTATTTGTCTTTTCTTTTGAAGTCCACGGTGTTATTTAAAAAGGTGTTTGAGTGTTATGGTTACCCAGGTAATAAACATTCCGTGCACACTGTGTCCTATTTATGTTTAGCCTGCTGGCGTATACCACTTACATTGGTTGCATTTGCAGATACGCCGTATAATTTTAACAATCTAAAGCAGCCGTATATTTAAAAAAAACATACACATTCATGCTCTTAACAACAACAACAAAAAATACGACATTAATTTGAAGCCAAAATTAACGACATCGGCTATGAAAATTAACAAAAATCATTTGGCCATTCCAAAGAGGTTTTTCTCTGTGATGTTTCACCGGCTTGCGCGCTGTGTTTTCTCTTTCCGCAGCTTCCCCTGGACGTGTTCAACAACTACTTCAGCCTGGGCTTCGATGCGCACGTCACTCTGGAGTTCCACGAGTCGCGGGGTGAGCTGAGATTACTTTTAACTTTTAAGGGAGCCACGAGGCTACATATTGCTCCGGCTGGTCAATGTTACCTCCGTCCTTCTGTCCAAATGCTTCACATATTTCACAGAAAAACTCCCAAAGACATAATCCAGTTGCTTAAGAACTTAACACACATCTTGCCAGGACTAATGCCCAGATCTGTAAGGTTTTTTGGCCAAATTGGCAGTTAAATACATTTTTTTATCCTTTTTTATGTTAACATTATGCTGCTTAGCAGTGTGATTGCCACGATTCATTGGGGCAATGTTCAGGGCAATTGTTGGCAGCAATCGTCACCAGCAAAGTATTTACCATGAGAAACAACAGCAACTTGGTGTGGCAGTGGCATAGAGTGCCAGAATTACATTGAGCCAATGAAAACTGTTTTTTGAAAAGTGGCTTGATGAACAATATTTTTTTGTGCAGAGCCACGGCACCCACCTTGGGGAGTCACGTGACGTCCATCTGTAATCTGATTGGATACTGCCATACCAGTTTTCCACGAGGTGGAGCAGCAATGAGATTTGCCCAGATATGGAAAATATATATTTTCTGCAATGCTTATACAGATTATTTAAAAGTAATGGTGCTTAATGTTTTTTGGTTTCATTTACAATATTACATGGTGTTATGACGGTGGCTGGTGAAGATTGCCCTAAATTTTGCCCCAGCGCATTGTTGGCCTCAACTGACACGGCGGGAAGGTCTCTTCCACACCGCCTGCTAAGTCCCCTCCCGCCACTCAAGGCGCCGTCGCACGCACGGAACCCTGGTGGTGTTTGTTTTTACGTGCGCGCTCGGTGGTGTCGTCCTTCGCGCTGCGCTACGAACCCGGCTACCCGAGGTCCGATTCTCGCTCACGGCCAACACCAGCGACGATTATCTGAACCGGTCTTTGGGCTCCCCTAGCTCGGCCTCAATACAAAGGCGGACGGGCGTGGTGCTGGCCTCCCACCCCCTTGTGTGCCGTGCCGCCCTTCATAGGTGCTCGTTAACAGCACTTGCCCCAACAGTCTGTTAAGGCTATATGGGGATCTTTGTCTTTTATGTGTTATTAATTTCCTTGGATTGCCCGAACAACAGGGGAATTCTTCCTTCATGCACTGGAAGCCCTTACACTGGCAATGAAGCAGCCTCCGTAGAATTCCACAGCCCTGTTTGCATTGTGCTAACAATAGCCCTGCAGGGTTTATATGTTACAATTCATACTTTCGGATCTCTGTTAATCCAGTGCTGCATGAAGGCCTTCCTACGCAAGTGTTGGTCAAGGCGGATGTTTTGAGCACACTTCACCAAACTGGATAGTGTGTGAGGGGGATGGCGGGTGGACAGGACTCGTTCAGGAATCCCTCGTCGCTGATGTGTGAGTTTTGAACTCGGGTTATAAGGTTCACAGCGCGGTGTGCTAATCGCAGCTCCCGCAACTCCACCGCTTCACCCGCAAGTTAGAAAATGGAGAAGTCAACTGCACAAATATGGACCTGGCATTAACAGATGTGCACGAACCTGACTGGCGATTACTTATCGTGGGCATCTGCGAAAGTGAATTGTGGTCGCTGAAGCACATATCTACGAAATTGAACGGCGGTCGCTTTCTTAGACGTCCATGAAAATTATTCGTGAATTACGGTGACCTCTGTGAACGCGAGCATAGTTGCGTGTCGACGGAAGATGGAGCGTTTTCTTTTTTACCACCTCCTCGTCGCGGTGACCCCGCACGCGAAACCCGCTGGCCCTGTGTCTCCAAGAGAGGGCGCACACCCACCGCCCGCGAGTGTGACATCCACATTCGGCTCTGCTGCTGCTGTTGTTGTTATTATTTTCACAATGCATTTGCGGCACGTGTGCCGGGTAATAATAATATAATAATATACGACTCTTCATCGCATCTAGGATACCGTAAGCTGTCAAAGGTTATGATTTCCTCTCGGTTACAAATATTCCTTAGGCCTCGCCCCGAACTTCATTGTTCTGGCAACGGCACAGCCGGGGGAGGAAAACAAATAAGGCGGCGGGCGCACACAATCCGAGCGAATAAAAGGGCTGCGTGATCCGTACGCGGGCCTCCGAAATCTAAATTACATTTGAAGGAGCACATAATCAGCTTAGAGGGAATCGATCTGGGTTGTAAGGACCCTCTCCTGAACCTCGATTGAGCCCCTTTGTACCTCGGGGATTGGAGACCCCTACGTCAGGCCCCAGACAATCCCCCCGCCCCACTCCGAGGGGCCCTGGCCCCAAAGTAAGGTCACGGTGGGTGTGCAGCAGCGGCTTCTAAGCTAAAAACGATACACATTTGTTTTCTTTTAGCAGGTAATGCCCACTGAGCTATATTTAGCTCTTTTTCAGAAGCGACCTGGACGCAAATGTTAGCTCAACGAAATTTATAGCAGCCAAATACTGTGAATAGACGTTGATCCTAAATGTGGGGGGGGGGATCGGAGGACCTGGAGAAAAATCGACGTAACCACGGAGAGAGACATGCAAACTCCAAATATACAGGCCTCAGGGTTGGGATCAAACCAACTGCTTCCTGAATACCAGGCAAAGGAGATAACACCTCGCCACTGGGGTTCGCCATTGTCCCTCGGCTAAAGAGAGGGCCTTGAATCAATATTGATCGCCCGATCGCGGTGTCGCCCCTTTGATATTGAAATATTAAAGTGATATCGGTTGAGCGGTGTCTTTATCTCATTCCTGTGGCGTCGTATTTTAACGCGCCGTTAGTGTCGGGCCAAGTCACTGACATTTATCATTACGCGTTCGGAACAGTTATCTTAGCAATGCTTAAGTTAATGTTGCATCACAGCCCGGGTACAGTGTATGATATTGCAGCAATATATTGTATTTTTTTATGCTGATCTTAGCAGTTTGCTTGCTCCATGGTCTTAATGGATTGTTTTTGTGCGAGCTTTGAAAAAGAAGCAAAGCGAAGTGGAAAACAAGCATGCGGTGTGTTATCAGGTGTGCGGAGATGTTCAATGTTTGATTACGCATCTATTGATGTGCTCGTAACCACTGTGTGTATGGTATTGTGTGTGCGCGTGGAGTACAAGAAACAAGTAGATGTTCTCTCTAGCCGGTGGGAAACCAACGTTGGCCAAGACGGTGACCAAATGTCCCGACGTTTACAACGCGCATGCTCGTACATGTACACCTGGAGTTTAATATCAGGATATTAATTTATCCTGAAGAAATACGATGAGCTATGAAGCTTTTTTTCCACAGATGTCCAGTAGGGGCAGGTCAGAAAGTTACAACAACAAACAAAATATTTCAGATTATTTCAGTTTGATTTGTCTAGGGCTGACCTCCAGAAAATATTTCCCGCAGGGTCATGTTAGTTGGAGGTTGGTGGAGTGGGGGGCGCACCAAATAGCCCAGAAAATTATTATTTACAAATGAAGCCCTGGTGTGCACACTTAACCCTGACTAGGTTGGCGAAACGCAGAGAAGGGCACACTGCCAAATATGGGCGTCACACCGTCTAACGAGTGAGTGTTGTATTAATTGCGGAGGTCACACCGTGTCACGAGTGAGTGTTGTATTAATTGCGGGTGTCACACCGTCTCACGAGTGAGTGTTGTATTAATTGTGGAGGTCACACCGTCTCACGAGTGAGTGTTGTATTCATTGCGGAGGTCATACCGTCTCACGAGTGAGTGTTGTATTAATTGCGGAGGTCACACCGTGTCACAAGTGAGTGTTGTATTAATTGCGGGTGTCACACCGTCTCACGAGTGAGTGTTGTATTCATTGCGGAGGTCATACCGTCTCACGAGTGAGTGTTGTATTAATTGCGGAGGTCACACCGTGTCACAAGTGAGTGTTGTATTCATTGCGGAGGTCACACCGTGTCACAAGTGAGTGTTGTATTAATTGCGGGTGTCACACCGTCTCACGAGTGAGTGTTGTATTCATTGCGGAGGTCTCACCGTCTCGCGAGTGAGTGTTGTATTAATTGCGGAGGTCACACCGTGTCACGAGTGAGTGTTGTATTAATTACGGGGGTCACACCGTGTCACGAGTGAGTGTTGTATTAATTGCGGGGGTCACACCGTGTCACGAGTGAGTGTTGTTTTAATTGCGGAGGTCACACCGTGTCACGAGTGAGTGTTGTATTAATTACGGGGGTCACACCGTGTCACGAGTGAGTGTTGTATTAATTGCGGAGGTCACACCGTGTCACGAGTGAGTGTTGTATTAATTGCGGAGGTCACACCGTGTCACGAGTGAGTGTTGTATTAATTGCGGGGGTCACACCATCTCACGAGTGAGTGTTGTATTAATTGCGGGGGTCACACCGTGTCACGAGTGAGTGTTGTATTAATTGCGGAGGTCACACCGTGTCACGAGTGAGTGTTGTATTAATTGCGGAGGTCACACCGTGTCACGAGTGAGTGTTGTATTAATTGCGGGGGTCACACCATCTCACGAGTGAGTGTTGTATTAATTGCGGGGGTCACACCGTCTCACGAGTGAGTGTTGTATTAATTGCGGAGGTCACACCATGTCACGAGTGAGTGTTGTATTAATTGCGGAGGTCACACCGTGTCACGAGTGAGTGTTGTATTAATTGCGGAGGTCACACCGTGTCACGAGTGAGTGTTGTATTAATTGCGGGGGTCACACCGTCTCACGAGTGAGTGTTGTATTAATTGCGGAGGTCACACCGTGTCACGAGTGAGTGTTGTATTAATTGCGGAGGTCACACCGTGTCACGAGTGAGTGTTGTATTAATTGCGGAGGTCACACCGTGTCACGAGTGAGTGTTGTATTAATTGCGGGGGTCACACCGTCTCACGAGTGAGTGTTGTATTAATTGCGGAGGTCACACCGTGTCACGAGTGAGTGTTGTATTAATTGCGGGCGTCACACCGTCTCACGAGTGAGTGTTGTATTAATTGCGGAGGTCACACCATGTCACGAGTGAGTGTTGTATTAATTGCGGAGGTCACACCGTGTCACGAGTGAGTGTTGTATTAATTGCGGAGGTCACACCGTGTCACGAGTGAGTGTTGTATTAATTGCGGGGGTCACACCGTCTCACGAGTGAGTGTTGTATTAATTGCGGAGGTCACACCGTGTCACGAGTGAGTGTTGTATTAATTACGGGGGTCACACCGTGTCACGAGTGAGTGTTGTATTAATTGCGGGGGTCACACCGTGTCACGAGTGAGTGTTGTTTTAATTGCGGAGGTCACACCGTGTCACGAGTGAGTGTTGTATTAATTGCGGAGGTCACACCGTGTCACGAGTGAGTGTTGTATTAATTACGGGGGTCACACCGTGTCACGAGTGAGTGTTGTATTAATTGCGGAGGTCACACCGTGTCACGAGTGAGTGTTGTATTAATTGCGGAGGTCACACCGTGTCACGAGTGAGTGTTGTATTAATTGCGGGGGTCACACCATCTCACGAGTGAGTGTTGTATTAATTGCGGGGGTCACACCGTGTCACGAGTGAGTGTTGTATTAATTGCGGAGGTCACACCGTGTCACGAGTGAGTGTTGTATTAATTGCGGAGGTCACACCGTGTCACGAGTGAGTGTTGTATTAATTGCGGGGGTCACACCATCTCACGAGTGAGTGTTGTATTAATTGCGGGGGTCACACCGTCTCACGAGTGAGTGTTGTATTAATTGCGGAGGTCACACCATGTCACGAGTGAGTGTTGTATTAATTGCGGAGGTCACACCGTGTCACGAGTGAGTGTTGTATTAATTGCGGAGGTCACACCGTGTCACGAGTGAGTGTTGTATTAATTGCGGGGGTCACACCGTCTCACGAGTGAGTGTTGTATTAATTGCGGAGGTCACACCGTGTCACGAGTGAGTGTTGTATTAATTGCGGAGGTCACACCGTGTCACGAGTGAGTGTTGTATTAATTGCGGAGGTCACACCGTGTCACGAGTGAGTGTTGTATTAATTGCGGGGGTCACACCGTCTCACGAGTGAGTGTTGTATTAATTGCGGAGGTCACACCGTGTCACGAGTGAGTGTTGTATTAATTGCGGAGGTCACACCGTGTCACGAGTGAGTGTTGTATTAATTGCGGAGGTCACACCGTGTCACGAGTGAGTGTTGTATTAATTGCGGGGGTCACACCATCTCACGAGTGAGTGTTGTATTAATTACGGGGGTCACACCATCTCACGAGTGAGTGTTGTATTAATTGCGGAGGTCACACCGTGTCACGAGTGAGTGTTGTATTAATTGTGGAGGTCACACCGTGTCACGAGTGAGTGTTGTATTAATTGCGGAGGTCACACCGTGTCACGAGTGAGTGTTGTATTAATTGCGGAGGTCACACCGTGTCACGAGTGAGTGTTGTATTAATTGCGGAGGTCACACCGTGTCACGAGTGAGTGTTGTATTAATTGCGGGGGTCACACCGTCTCACGAGTGAGTGTTGTATTAATTGCGGAGGTCACACCGTGTCACGAGTGAGTGTTGTATTAATTGCGGGCGTCACACCGTCTCACGAGTGAGTGTTGTATTAATTGCGGAGGTCACACCATGTCACGAGTGAGTGTTGTATTAATTGCGGAGGTCACACCGTGTCACGAGTGAGTGTTGTATTAATTGCGGAGGTCACACCGTGTCACGAGTGAGTGTTGTATTAATTGCGGGGGTCACACCGTCTCACGAGTGAGTGTTGTATTAATTGCGGAGGTCACACCGTGTCACGAGTGAGTGTTGTATTAATTACGGGGGTCACACCGTGTCACGAGTGAGTGTTGTATTAATTGCGGGGGTCACACCGTGTCACGAGTGAGTGTTGTTTTAATTGCGGAGGTCACACCGTGTCACGAGTGAGTGTTGTATTAATTGCGGAGGTCACACCGTGTCACGAGTGAGTGTTGTATTAATTACGGGGGTCACACCGTGTCACGAGTGAGTGTTGTATTAATTGCGGAGGTCACACCGTGTCACGAGTGAGTGTTGTATTAATTGCGGAGGTCACACCGTGTCACGAGTGAGTGTTGTATTAATTGCGGGGGTCACACCATCTCACGAGTGAGTGTTGTATTAATTGCGGGGGTCACACCGTGTCACGAGTGAGTGTTGTATTAATTGCGGAGGTCACACCGTGTCACGAGTGAGTGTTGTATTAATTGCGGAGGTCACACCGTGTCACGAGTGAGTGTTGTATTAATTGCGGGGGTCACACCATCTCACGAGTGAGTGTTGTATTAATTGCGGGGGTCACACCGTCTCACGAGTGAGTGTTGTATTAATTGCGGAGGTCACACCATGTCACGAGTGAGTGTTGTATTAATTGCGGAGGTCACACCGTGTCACGAGTGAGTGTTGTATTAATTGCGGAGGTCACACCGTGTCACGAGTGAGTGTTGTATTAATTGCGGGGGTCACACCGTCTCACGAGTGAGTGTTGTATTAATTGCGGAGGTCACACCGTGTCACGAGTGAGTGTTGTATTAATTGCGGAGGTCACACCGTGTCACGAGTGAGTGTTGTATTAATTGCGGAGGTCACACCGTGTCACGAGTGAGTGTTGTATTAATTGCGGGGGTCACACCGTCTCACGAGTGAGTGTTGTATTAATTGCGGGGGTCACACCGTGTCACGAGTGAGTGTTGTATTAATTGCGGAGGTCACACCGTGTCACGAGTGAGTGTTGTATTAATTGCGGAGGTCACACCGTGTCACGAGTGAGTGTTGTATTAATTGCGGGGGTCACACCATCTCACGAGTGAGTGTTGTATTAATTACGGGGGTCACACCATCTCACGAGTGAGTGTTGTATTAATTGCGGAGGTCACACCGTGTCACGAGTGAGTGTTGTATTAATTGTGGAGGTCACACCGTGTCACGAGTGAGTGTTGTATTAATTGCGGAGGTCACACCGTGTCACGAGTGAGTGTTGTATTAATTGCGGAGGTCACACCGTGTCACGAGTGAGTGTTGTATTAATTGCGGGGGTCACACCATCTCACGAGTGAGTGTTGTATTAATTGCGTGTACGTACAGCATGTGGGCAAAATCTTGCTTCAGTGCTCCTCCAGCCAGGGTCAAGCCAGGCCCCACGGCTGTCTCTGCTGTAGGTGCTGCGCGTTTAAAGGTGCATTTGCTTGCGTTTTGGCCTTCCACTGCCAATATAAGTGTAGTCTATTCTTTTTTTGCAGAGCGTGCACTCCGTTTTGTTGGTGGCGCTGTCAGCCCAACAGCTGGAGGGCAAGGACTTCAACCAAAAAAAAAGTGCCATGGCCGAGGGAAATTACAAATCTGATTTGTAATGGCGTACGTCGGAGCAATAAGTGTCTGCGTCATCTCACCATATCATGCGTGTTTTGGCCCTGTCGTCTTAACATCAATCCAAGCGACTCAGTCACCCGGCCTCATGTGCGGTCAATTCTATTTAGTTATTTATTTCCTACTACCAGCCTAAGAGACTTTGTTGGGGTTTTTTTTTTGTCCGGTGGAGGTGGTAGGTTGGCTCAGGGGGTTTATATCAAAGCACTGAACCAGCACTTTTTATTTACTTGGGTTTATCACCGTTTGTTCACTTGGGTCACCTGAGATAATAACAGATTCTCTCCTGTGTAGTGAGTCTCTCAACGACCACACACCGAATATATATTACAACCCTTCTGTAATTTCACGAAAATTTGTCAATCCCATTTCCAAAGAAATAAAATGGCAGCATTCTGTAGGGATCCATTGTACAATAGATCCCTACAGAATACTGGGTGAAGGTTTGTGACATCCCCTCATGGTCATTCCTCGCAGTGATCTGTGGCTTCAGCTGGCACGATGGGGCTTACAAAATGTCACATTGATTTTCAAGAGATGCTAATGTGGTCCTACATGGTATCAACTGTGCAACAACTATACAGGGTCTGGCGGAAGGAAGTAAGTGATGGCGAAGTGTGGGTGACATCAAGGGCACTGGCCACAATACCCTTGACCTTGACATAAAATGAGTGATTACAAGCAAAACATTTAACGTGGTTGGTCAAAAAATATAAAAAAAAATCCAACATTTTTTTCCAAGCCATTATTTTATTGAACATACAAATACACAGCACATTCCCATCGCATAACCAGAGAAAGATGGAAACAAACACAAGAACGTACATTCAAAGAAAATTGTGTGGTCTGTGCAAATGTTGGATTAACACGGAGATGGCGAGTGCATGAGTGAGGAGTGTCCGGGTGGTAAGGGGAGCAGGTCCATTGTGAATGGTACAATAAAATGTAGCAAGTTGATCAAATAACAATATCCTAAGGATTATTTAATACAACAGTATATATAGTGTTTTGGCATTAAGACACTGTGTGAAAACGTGTCTGTGCATAATGTGGGAACTCACCGAATCCCCCCCCCCCTCCCCGTCTTTGCGCGATTGAATAATTCACACGATTGTCACATCGCAAAAAAATATCGAGGAATGAGATACCACGTCGTGGCACTTGCGCGCGATAGGTCTCAGCGGCCGTAACGCCGCGTTAATAATCACAGGCAGAGATCAACGGAGGCAAAGCTTCTACAGCACCCAGGTCATGTTTGGAACAGGCCCCATTGATTTGGTTTTCCATGCGCGCTCGTATTCTTTACGAGACATTTAGATTCTGACAACGTCAAGCCCCCCCAATGTACGTTTGTCCCTTGTGCTGCACAGGTTGTTCGCGAGCGGTTCGACGTGTGAATATGGGCCGTGTGGGGGTGGCTTCTGCCGTGGCGTTTACCTTTGCACCTGTTTCCTCTTCTCGTTTCAGAAGCGAATCCTGAAAAGTTTAACAGCAGGTTTCGAAATAAAATGTTCTACGCTGGTGTGAGTATTTCAATGTTTTCAATTGCAAAATTCTCTGAAATTGATCTACTGAGAGATTATACTACGATTTTGTATGATGGCTACGCTATGTGAACAAAATATTGTCAGTCTCCCAAAACGCTGGTCTAATGTTTTCTAGAAAGTTTTTATTTTGTATAATTGAAGTCCTGTCATAAATTACAACCATTTATCAAGCCACGACTGCATCAAGGTCTCCCCATGTCGCGTCGGTCAACGGGCTTGCTTGACCATACCTCACCACGCTGGTCAGTGTGGGCTAGTGAAGGTGGCTTCCAGGACCGGTTGCAATATTACTCACCACTGATGTTAGCCATGGCTGGGAATTGAACGCAAACTGAGGTTGCTGGATTCATGGCTCTGTAAGCAAACTGCTGCACGAACGTTCCAACCCTGTGTTTATTTTATGAATCTTCATTTGTTTTCATCCCGTAATGAGTTCATCACAGATCTTCATTGTTACCAACAAAAAATTAGGAGGAAACAGACACTTCTCATGATGCAGATTCTGCAATGTTCATACCTCATAGGATTTCAAAAGAAAAGTAACTTTTTTGCTCCAAATAAGAACATCGATAATGACTGTGTAAAATCTTCAGGAGACATTTTACTACTGTACAGTGTATATCTTGACAATTTTCTTGGTAATAGTAAACAGATGTCGTTTTAGTCGTGTCCAGTTGAGCAGAAAATACAATCAAGGGTACATTTTCATGAGGCGGCGATTTGGTTTTAGAAGCAAAGGCAGGGCAGAATTAAAAGCAATTATTGTTCCTGTCCACTTGATCTTGCAACAAAGGTTGCATTTGTGACCCTTGAGGTCTTCCGTCCGTGGTGATTTTATGGCTGGGTAGGTTTTGTGTCCAAATGTATTTAATTTTACATTATTTATCCTCGAACATTTACAGTGCTTCGATGGAATTTCGCTCCCCAGCGGTGAGCGTGTTATTCGTGCCGTCGTCTTATTTTTTGTTGTTTGTTCCCGGGGTTTCCAGGCTGCCTTCTCTGACTTTCTGCAGAGGAGTTCAAAGGACCTGGCGAAGCACGTCAAGGTCGTGGTAAGGCTGCACAAAAGCCGCTTATCGGTGCAGACTGTCGTGCGGATGCCACGCTTCGCTGGTGGACATCATTTTTTTTATTTAGTCACTCGTTTGATTTCTTTGTTGTAGATTTTTTTTTCCGTATTTCTACGCTTCCCACCCACCGTCACACACTGCCACTTCCCTTCCTTTTAGCCAAATCCTCCGCCAGAACTCACGGAGGAGATTCGGAGCCACGATTGTTACAATGTGCTTCCCCACGATAACGGGAGGGTTTCACGGGCCTCTGCAGCGAGGAAGTTCAAAGGTCATTCATATTAAAACAATAAAGGGGAAAAACATGTATTGTATGCTCTAAGTAAAATGTGGTGTTGTTTTATAATGGCATCCATTAAGTTATTTCATATAAAATGTGGACAGTATGCATATATGCTTCGCAAGTATTCTCTTCAAACAGAGGGCTATTCTGTTCTGTGAGCTCTCAACTAGTTTTAAATGTCGTCAGTTGGTAGTATCCACAAGGCCAGGGTTTTCAAACGCCAGCATTTGTGAGCCGCCGTGGAGAGCCTTGCCGTGTTTACCAATCTTATCCTTTCATATGAAAATTATCTCGGTAATTGGGTGAAAGCGGCTGCATGGTGTAGATATTTTATTCACTTGGAATATGCATTGCAATCATCGCCCTCTACTACGAAAACCTGCCAGTACTCCGATGTAGAAAGGGTCATGAGACCCGGTGAGGCTTTCCTGGGTAAACAAGCGTAATAAATATAAAAAGTGAGTCACGAGGACTGGCTTTTGGTGGAAACCCTGTGCTCAGCTTGCGCAGCGTGTGAGCAAGGGAGGCCACATCAGTGGATGCAGATATTCATAGCAGCGGGAATTCTAGTCCGAGCGGCGCCAAGATGGGAGGGCCTGCACTTGATAAACAAACATTCACTGTCAAGCAATTGTGTTGAATGTTAAGTAATACCTGGGGACCCACCGAATTAACTTGCATCCATAGACTGCGCAGTACCCACAGACATGCATAGGACCCGTAAACTTTCACCCGACTCCACAGGTATGCATCGGACCCATAGGCTTGTGCACATGAGCCAGCAGTAACTGAATGACAGGGGAACTCTAGGGGGAGGGGGTTCTAAGGTGGGAGGTGCGTTTCCACTGTGCACTCTAATTGTAGTCCTGTCTGAAATGCTCGCATGATGCAGGGCCGAGGCACTTTGTCTCAACACGAACACTTGAGGGGACATTGTTTTGTCTCATCCATGCCAGCTCCCTTAGCCGTGCATCAGCGGGGTGTGTTGCTGGGTTACGGTGTACCCATTGACTTGATACAATAAAAAACAATCTATTTGTAACATCTGATAAAAAGGAATGAACTCAGGAAGATGCACAGCAGATACTTAAAAGCCGTTGCCAAGGCTACAACCGATTGCAATTTTATGAAAAATGCTTTATTTTACTAGTTATTTTTTACGTTACTAAATGTTTGGCAATAACCAATTAATATAATCGTTTTAGTCACACGAGTCATTGCGAGCCACTGCTAATACCCAGCATGCAGTTGCTTTTGCAATGTTTTGCTCATTTTGTTTCGCTGTGTTTAACTAAAGAGGAGTAGCTGTATCGCCCAGGTTCATAATTCGATAGTAAGAAAAGAGACAACAGAATTGGACTACGTTGGGAATTTGTGGAATGAAAAGTTGTTGAATTAGCAATGCTTGTTAAATGTGTTGTTGTCGTAAAGACCGTGCATTGAATGAACCGGCGGTGGCGCTTGCAGCAAATAAAAACAAATATGACCTTAAACAGTAACCGTCTTAACGGAAATTAAAAAATATATATATAAACAAAGCTGTAAATATATGACAACTGGAAAAAAACAAGACATTACACTCGTAGGGTGCTGAAAATAATATTTTCCTAAGATTGTATTCTCGTCAAATGTGTGGAATAATAACGCGATGTTCGAATTTCACTTCATAAAAGAAAATAAACGTTTTGTCGGCAGCGCCATTTCCGCACGGTGCAGGATTTGAATGCAGTTTTTTTATTAACTGCTTGGAGAGTAATCTCGCCCTGTTGTACATTGCAGTGTGACGGAATGGATTTGACGCCAAAAATCCAGGAACTCAAGTTTCAGTGCATCGTTTTTCTCAACATTCCGAGGTCAGTTGCGTGAGGCAAGATCGTCGCTTGATCTCAACAGTGCCGTGCAAACGAAACGGGCCCAGCGCGATCTCTAAGTGTGAAACGATGCTTTGTTCGATCGGGCAAAGTCGAATGTTACACTTGTTGAATCGTGCCTGTGAATATACATTATTTAGGATCTGTACAAATGCAGTGGTTGTGTTACTTTTTGGCTGATGGAGCAAACATAGTGGTGCAAATGATAATCCCAAAATAAAAACCTGTAACAATACCCCTATGGAGGCTGTAAAAGTGGAATGAAAAATTAATTGTGACAATTTATCTAATCACTTTATGTGCCACGTATTATTTACATCTAGCGGTCTCCCAGGGCTTTATCAGAACAGCAGCTGTACCTCTTCTTGGTTCTTTCGGTAAAGTCATGTAGAAGGGAAGTAATAAAATAATAAAAATAAAACATCATAAAATAATTCTCACGACGTTTCAGACGCTGTCTACCCGACAGACCTGGTCTTCACCTGAGGACGGCTGCTTGCGTTGTGGCCGAAACGTCGTGAGAATTATTTTATTATGTTTTATTTTTATTATTTTATTACTTCCCTTCTACGTGACTTTACCAAAAGAACCAAGAAGATGAATCCCTGCAGTCATGAAAGCTTTACATCGAAATTTAGCAGCTGTACCGTTAGAAAACAGCATAGGGTGACCGCCATTCAGTCCGATTGACGCGACCGTCTCTCACAATCGTTGAGTTGGAGTAACAGCTGATTGGCCTCAAAGGCCAATCCTGGGCTGGTGTGAAATGCTGCGAACCACCTGGAGTTTATGGGAGCAATAGCAATGCTATTGGCAAATTGCAAAAATCGTGGGTGACCTCCCTTACCAGCTCGGTGACAAGTCCACTCTCTCATGATCCATCGCTTGCCGGGTAGTGACAGCCGACCTCTCCGGGGAGCCAAACTTGTGCGGTTGTAAAATGTTGTGGCTGCCCCTTCTGTTGGCAACAGGCTATCATTAGTTCGTGCCCTCGGGGGGGGGTGGGCAGGGGCGGGGTGGGGAGCGGGACTCTCTCAGTGAAAATCAGAAGTCATGCAATGGGGGGGGCGGGGGCTTAACAAGCCGAACCGGCACATGGCAGCCGCGTGCTAGAAGCTCTGTGTGTTCCTCAGACAAACCCCCGAGGAGGAGGAGGCAATGGTGCTGGACATCCTCCCAAAGTTGCTGTTCGTTTGACAATGCTTTAGAATGATGTTGCGTGTGTTTTTTCTCTCTGTTTGCCACGACGGTGTGTCGCGCGCACTCCTTTCCTGCCCGCATCCGCACAGTCTTTGGTAACCGGGAACGTTTCTGTGGTTGCGCACATCCCCACGCATCCCCCCAGGATTTTTGTTACGTCCGCCTCCTTGTTGACGATGTTATTGAAAGCTTAATTTATTAATTTAATCAATTGCCTTTACTATTATTAGGATGCGGGAGATGGTAGTGGTTGGTTTTCCACATTAATTGGGTTTAATTATTCATACAATCATAATTCACCGTGGAATACACTTCATCACACGGTTGTTTTTCTACTCGTCGTGTTAATATATAATGATCTTGATTGTGCGTGGCACACATCGATTTTATAGTGGGCTAATTGGCAGATGAATTTCGGTTTATTTCACATTGACCAACTGGAGTCGTGCATTGTTTGTGTGAACGTCACTCTTTGGAGCCGATAAAACATTCCTGAGTTGTATGTTTAAAAAAGTATTTTGTGAATGCACCCACTGCGTCTGTACAGAGTACAAATCCAAATTGTACCGTGCAGCAGTTTAGTACAAAATTATAAAATTAGGGGAGTGGCATGTTGGGTAATTGTTCAGTGTTGTGGTGTACAAAATTCATTATCGTAAAATTACTTTGAGCAAAATTAACAACTTAATAATTCTAACGATTCCAAACTTTTCGCATCGTGATCATAAATTGTATTATATTGTTATTGCACGCTGCAGGTAGATAAGGGGAAACATAAGACATTAGATGTGAGAACTCTGGTAATCGGTGCACGAAATTCGAATCTTGGGATGCTTGTAGTGCCCCGGCACAATTAATGTTCCGAAATTGGCTATGAAATTTGGATGCATGAGCGGTTTTAATTTGACACGGGAGAAATACGAGGTCTGCTTCTACCGAGAGAGCATCCAGCGCTGCTCATAAGAGGTGAAGCCGGGGCCTCCCGTTGGGCTACTCGGTAATCAGCTGGTAGCCAACATTCAAACTGCCCCCCTTAAAAAGCCATAATGGATCTGTAATCACCGTGGGGTTATGAGGTGGCTGATGCAGCCTTGCATTTAATGGCGGGACCTACAAGGCCGACAGCCACAAGGCTGAGGTCAAAAGCCACTAGGCCAAGGAAGAGGTCAAGGCCGGGAGCCTTTAGGTATAGGCCTTTGTCAAGGCCGGTGCCTCTTAAGCGATGTCCTCTGACCGAGACATTGTCCTTGAGCCGGCGCCAAGGCCTAGCAACAGGCCTTGGACTGGTTCAGTCCTAGGCTTTGGACCAGTCCTAGGCTTAGGACTGGCCTTGAGGACACCAGACTTGGCCGATATATCTGCGGTTCCTAGCCGAGCGTAAATTATACCATTTGCAATTTTGACTTTGCAAAAATTAGGCCACGATATCCTTGATTGGTGTCCACTGTTGAAATGCACCCCTAGGGACCGGGTAAGCTGCTTTACGGGCTGTTGGTGCAGTCGATATGAAATAAATGAAGACCGCACATTATAAAGGATTAGAGATTTAATTTTTTTTTTCTCCACCGCCTGTTGCCTTGAGGAGCCGATCAACTTTTACAAGTCACTGGGCACCAGTTCGGCCGTGCCAACTTTCGAGAAAATGATCGTCGATAATGAGTTTGGCAGAGTAAGCGATGGTGTGAGGGAAGTCGTAAAAATGACACGGTCCCCCCCGCCGCCCCTGCAGAAGTGAAGCTAAATTATGCAAAATAGGAATTGGGATTGTTCATTATGCGTGTATTAACTGCCACGAGTAATTGCATTAAATTTAAATCAGGAAAATGGGGGCAGCAATCTCGTTTGGCTTTCTCCCTTGTCAAGGGTTAAAGAAAGCTGCGTTTTATTTGCACAGAAAATGCTTGAAAAACCTGCGGCCGCCCGTGTGACTTTGTGTTGGTTATTTATTACCTAGAGATCTGTACAATAATCACGTAATTTGTGCTAATGAATACTCCGAATTAAGGACACACTGTGCTTAACCTATGTCCACTAATGGATGATTAGGACTGCAGAGATATTCCGAAGGGCCAGATGCCTGCAAATTCTTGGCGCTGAATGGAGAATGTAGAAATGTACTGGTTCAGGGAGAGGAACACATACTCACAGCATTTCTCATTCTTAACACTGCTTTATGGGAACCACTGTGGCAAGATGTTAACTACCTCGCCTGGTATGCAGGAGATCGTGGGTCCGATCTCTTCTATGATGCCTGCTGTATATTTGGAGTTTGCGTGTCTCTCTCCCTGTGGTTGCGTGGATTTTTCTCCGGGTCCTCCGGTTTTCCCCTCCGCATTTCGACACGTGCGTTTAGAGTATTTGTCTGCTATAAATTTCCACATGATAAGCCACTTCGTTGAGCTATCATTTGTGGCCACGTTGCTTCTGAAAAGTGGGTCTTACCTAGTAAAATAAAAAATATAGCCTTGTAACAAACATCGTTGGCTGACGTTTTGGGCAATGGCCCTTTTTCAGAACAAAGATATTATAATTAGAGATTGCACTTTACACTGGTGCACCAGGAGGACTGTAAAATTTGAAAGAAGTTGACATTGTGTGGTTTTGAATTGTCATAAGCAGTTTTTTTTATCGATAGACATCGCGTAGCGAACAAACCATTTGAATTTGTCATTTCTTAAAATGTTTCTCGTGTTCGCAAGGTAACGCAGTACAAGGTGCAGTGTCCAATTATCAATTATCAAGTCACTCATCAAAATGTCAGCTTATTGTTCTATATATATAATGTGTGTATGTACACAACTGCCAATACAGTCTCTGAATGTATTGTGTCATTATTGACTCACTTCTATATAAAATGTACACCTCTATGGGGCCTGTGTGTGTGTGCGCGATGAAGTGATACAATTGGCTCGTGCGCGCAAAACTCTGATCCATTGTTGCATCGCAAGATTTTGAGAGATGGCGACGGCCTCGGTAGGCCTACATTTTGCAGTGGATAAATCATGTCTGATGATGATATCTGTTGATTCAATACCATCATCGTCGACCACGATCTACAATCGTGGAACAACCGCACTGAGATTTAACAAAGAAGCCACCAACACGTATCGTTAATGGCGTCGGTAGAAGGGGGATGTGCTTTAACCATATGTCGAATCAGTCATCGATTAATTTTGCCTCTTTACAACATCATGACACGGTCATTATACACGTTACCTCTTAAGGAGCGCACAGCGTAATTGACGAAGGCATTGAGTTGTTTTGTTCCTCGACCCTTGCGCACCGCCACCAGCGCCGCGCAATTTGCCTCGCGAAGTTTTTGGACGCGGGAGCCCCCCGCGATCAACGCGCGCCACTCTCGAACGTCTCAGCCGTGGCCAACCAAAGGATGACCGCCCCCCCCCCTCCCCCCGCCACCTTGTGTGGACGACAGGTATTGTGCTGGCACAATGCCCTGGGGAACGCCCGGCGAGCACCACGACTTTGAACCGCAGAGGCACGACGATGGTTACATCGAGGTGATCGGCTTCACCATGACCTCCCTGGTACGACACCGCCGCCGCCACCGCCGCCATCACCGCCGCCACCACCGCGCACCTCTCCTTGTTTGAGCTCATTGCCTGACCCGTGCGGTCGTCTATGAAAATAACAACTTCGACTTTTTAATGAAGCGCCATTCTTATTGATGTATCTTCCTGTGACGCCACCGCGTGACTCATTGCTCGGCAGTATATGAAGCAGGAAAGATGGCCTTCCCTAATTTGTACGAACCGCCACTTCGTTGAGCTCTCATTTGTGGCCAAGTCGCTTCTAAAAAATAGCTTCGTAGCTCCGCAGGCCTTACCTGGTAAAATAAAAAAAATCGTTTAGTTTTAAAACTGCTGCGTTCGGTGGCTGGGCAAAAAGCGGTCAGTTCGCTTACCGCTGCACCGGTTGGCATCAACTTGGCAGCTTAATTTTCTCAGCTGCAAGGTGATGCAGCGGGACATTATCACCCAGGCTTGCCACCTACTTTAGAGAGGGCTTCAGACAACAGCCGCCGTTCACAGGTGCAGTTACGCGTCCCGTCTGCGGCCAGAATCTCAAAGTTAAAGATTGCCCTCAACTAAGTTGTGAAGAATATATCCGCGTCTCCATTGCAATGTGAATAATTTGGGTGTGAATATAGTCCATTAAAGTCGTTTTATTCACATAGTAATTCTGTGGGGGAGAGGTGGGGGAGCAGTAACACTGTGGTTAGCACACTACCTTCTGAACCTGCCTCACCTGAGTTCGATCCCCGGCCACGGCTAACATCAGAAGCGAGGGATATCTGAAACGGTCCCAGCCTGGCCCCCCACTGCCCCCCCCGCCATTCACCAACCTGCCCTGACCAACGTGGGTTGAAGTATGGTCCAACAACCCCTCTGACCAACATTGCATGGTGAAGCATAGCAGTGGCTTCACAGTAGGCTGTCACTTATTCATATGAATAATCCCACACGTGCACGTTGTGTTATTTCAAGCTTTTTGCTATTGACGCTGAGCTGCGCCCCCGTGCAGCCGCGGTCGAAGCCGTCCTCCGGCCGCTTTTTTGTTTTGTTTTCCGGTTCTCAAATTTATCGACAGCGATGGCAATCCAAAAACCCTTAGGGGCGCTCACAGGTAGAAACAAATGTTAATTTGTACCGGTGTCGGTGGTCGTCTCATTGTCATCTGGCCGAGTAATGACGAGGGGACGAACAATTCAACTGCCGCAGTACTTCCGCGGATCGACAAGTTGTCAATGCATTTTAGGGGTGCGATTCGATAAAAAGAAGCAAAGTAGTCCCTCAAGTGGCTGCGGTGGGTGACAATGCACCCATCGCATGCAACATGCACACATTGTAAAACAGAATTTCCCAAGCACAGTTTTGGTGCTTTTATTATCTGGAGACGAAGAATCAATTTAAATCGATGAATCCCTGCATCCCTCCACCCCTATTTACATGCCCACGCGATCGTTTTCAAGGCGACATCCGATAGCCGAGTGCGGTGCTTCACAGCCGTATGTTTTCATCATGGTGGGCAGGCGGGTGGGGGATCTCCCATCTGTGAGCCTGACAATGACGAATCCCTCTTTTTAACGCTTCTATTTTTCCCTTCGGTGCGGACAAACGATAGCCCCTTTCACCTCCAACAACCTCCCCCCGGCTTTACCGCACACCCTGCAGGCGGCGCTGCAGGTCGGAGGTCACGGCGAGAGGCTCCACCAGTGCAAGGAGGTGACGCTGACCACCTACAAGAGCATCCCCATGCAGGTGGATGGGGAGCCCTGCAGGCTTGCGCCATCCATCATCCACATCGCGCTGCGTAACAAGGCCAACATGGTGCAGAAGGCCAAGCGGCGCCCCTCCATGCCGCTCCTCAACGAGTGAGTGGCGCGGCCTCGGCCCGCCTCGCTTCGGCGCTGTCGCCCCGCCCGACGCGCAAATTATCTCGGGGATGGATTTTTCAGGTCATCGATTAGCGCGGTTCACATACGTACGGTGGGGAAGAAGTTCAACGTGCGTACGTTGAGGTCATCGTGACCCACCGCCCACCGTCAGCCCTTTCCTGATTACAATGGCAGTACCCGTTTGGTATAAGCTCGAGCGATGATGCCCCCTACTTGCGCTGCACGGGGACAGCTGCCACTGTAGAGGGTCCCCTAGGCTAAAAAAGCTGCGCTCTGAGACATTTCTCTCCGTCACGGACGCAGAACAGGCATTATTAAGCATGATTTACAAAGGTTTTGTATTTTTAAGGAAATTAATCCAGTTTATATTTTTATTGTGTGCTTCATCAAGTCTGTTCATTCACCGTCGGAAATTAAAAAGGGCTGTCTTCCGAGGGATCGAGGCCGCAAAGCGCGTCCCTGTAAAGGGTTAAATAAAGGCACTGGCACTGAGCGGCGATGTTCCAAATTTTTTTGATTAACAAACCTGACAACAGCGGTGAACCCCCCGGTGAAGGTTCTAATGCAATTTGGTAATTTAACTGCCACGATAAAAAAAAATAACCGTACGTAACCCAAGGCACGTGTACATTTGTGGCAGCGTGATTAATCACCCGTGATTTTGTGTGGCATGTTTTTGAACCCGTGACATTAGGCAAAATAATCAGGAACATTTTCCAGGGAACCGAAGCTTACCGGCAGACGTTTCGGCAAAGCGATCCAGCAACTACGTCGCATAAATTGGAGCACTCATTGTGCTTTGAAGCTTAATTTCTCATGTTAACGCTGACATTTTATATTGCTTTATAACAAGGCCCTTTAATTAGGCTCGTTGTTGTCCTGCCGCGTGCTCATTGGATGAATTAATCACGAGAAATTTTCAATACATCGCCAAGTACAGACAGATTTCTCGCACTGCTGCTCTGGCAGTCCCAAGTCAATTTAAGTTTTTGTTGTCTTTTTGGAACGGTTGACTTCCATTGGAGTATGCGAATTATTTATTCCCATAACTATCCTTTGTGGCGCTGGGAGCGGCCACAATCGGTGTTGGGAAGATGCCGACTGTATGCCCAAACGTAATCCGAGAGATTATTTCTGTAATTGCCGTATTCACATGTGGAGCTTCCCGTTAAATATCACGCTCGCTACACTGCTGGATTGTACGATGGTAAGCACAGCTGGCGTTAGAACAAGTTAAAGCTAAAGCTTACATGCAAAAATGTCTATGTATTGGCATGGAGAGGGGATTGAGAATTGTGCTGTGTGTCTGTGAGAGTGTGTATGCGGGGAGTTGTGGCACAGTGGTTGGCGCACTGCGCTACCAACCCAGCATTTGACCTGGGTTCTATATCCAGCCATGGCTAATATCAGTGGCAAGTGGTATCTGAACCTATCCTCGGCCTCCCCTAAGTTGACTCGGCTTAAAATTAGTACTTGGTGCAATGTGTAAACATTATCACGGGAAGACAAAGACACCTCGGCATGGGCATGCGGGCTTTAATAGATGCTAACAGCAGTAGTATGCATGCCTTGTTGTGTTTGTCGACGTTTATACGTGTGCGACTCGAACAAAGAGGGAAGAAACTTACGGGTTTAGAATAGGATAAACAACTTGCAGGTTCAGAGTCAGCACAAGCGTTGTAGAGGTTGCCAGGAAAAGGAGGTTGTGATGGTGGGGCCACGTGCACTACCCTGGGGGAGGGCAGCTCACGGAGACGGGCATCAGAGCGGCAGCCAGAGGGCAGCGATCAAGGAGGTGAGCTGAAGGCAACTGGTGGCCACGATGAGACTATAAGAGCTGCTCCTTGAAGGTCGGTCGGGTGTTTGACTTTGCGACAACCTGCGGGACCTCGGGAGAAGCGCGAAAGCGACGGCGCGGTGTTGTGGCATCAACGTGCGCGTCGATCCTGCGCGCGCGATTAAATCCTCGTCCATTTTTCATCGTATTCATTTTCTTTTTTTCTTTTGTCCGCAGCCAGCAGTCGCTCCCGGAGCAGCTGCGCATCCGAGTGAGCCGCGTGAGCATGCACAACTACGAGGCGCTGTACTACGACAAGGAGAAGCTGCGGGAAGCCTGTGAGTCCCCCACGGTGTCACAGTTCATGGCCTGGCACGCAAGCGCTCCCATGGTGTTAAGCTTCGTGTCTCCAACTCTATACCCACTCTATCTCTCTGGCCCTCTGTAGGTTTATATGTGTACGCGGCAGAGCCATCGTCTGAAACGTCGCCTATTGTATATTTTTTTCCTTTGAAGGCCACGCACGGCGTTGTTGACGAACGTGTGTTGAGGTTTTTTGTTGTCATTTGTGCATTGTGCGCCGCTGCCAACGCATTATTGCCATATCGTTTGTTCACTGCGTATCGCTGTATTTCAAATGTGGTGAAATAACAAGGTTTCAACAAGTGTATATTGCGGTTTAGGAACACACGTTCAGTGCAATGAAAGAGAGAATACTCGACTCTGGAAGCGAGTTGCACCCCCACGTTCATGATAACGCTTCGATTCGCAATTGGAAGACGTTGTCGTGAGCTTTTATATAATTGCTCCTCTTGTAAGCTTATGCAAATTACACTTGAAAACATTGGTTTCCAGAGTTAAGTGGCTGCGAGAAGTCCGTTTGTGAGCGGACGAAAAAGCAGCACTTGTTTGTGTCTTTTTTTCTTCTTAGTTTTTTTACGGCATCTCTTTGCCATCTATCGTAAGTTTGCCTCTCACCTTTAACTCGGTGGCTTTACATGGCAGACGCAGGTGCGCTGAGGACCGGTCCTCCTTCGCTTGACGATTTCCAAGTACGCCTTTGCGGGTTATTAGCGATTTTCCAAACATGGGTTTTGTCGGAACAGTGGGTGAAAGTGCAGAGATTGTGGATGATGGGGGCGAGCTTTTGAAGGCTGATTAAAAACAAAGAAAAACATGCGGACAAGCCAAGCGCATGATTAATTGCTGAATTTATGATCTGAATTTATGGTCTGTAACAAAAACAAAAAAAACCCCGACCTGCAATGAAGACGTCAAGAAGCTTTGGAAACTGAGGAAGACATTAAGTCGCGCATCGTTAAAAATTTGCACTCGCCTGCCCGCGGAAAGCCCTTGGTGCTTTGCTGCACCCATTGGAAACGCTTCATCGTTTGAGTTGACTTATGCCCTCCACTAGAACCATCTGGTGATGTTTAAGCGTGTAAGATTGTATATAATGTACACACAGTCCTCATGCGGATGCTTCCACGGTGGTGTAATAGTTGGCACACTGGACTTGCAGTTCAGAGGGTTGCCGGTTCGATTCCACCTTCTTGCGCGTCAGTCGAAACAAATAAAATGTGTTTCTTAAATCCTCTCACCACTGTCGGTCGATGCGGTGGGGTAAAATGTAGGTACTCCCTCGTCTTCCGAGACGTTTCTCTGGCTTGGAAGAGTAGGCCGAATATCCTCGAGAGAGGGGGGGGGAGACCCCTTTGCCAGCAGTGGCATTGAGCGAGCGCTTGCAGGGTTGCACCCTTGCCTCCCTCGTACGTTCCCAGGTGCAGCGTTTGGAACAGTTTATTCAATAAATCCGTGGCATGTCAAATCAATGCAATATTAGTTGCTTTAATTGTTAGCGAGTGGGAAATGGTGGAATCCAATGCATCGGATCTTTTTATTGATGGATTACACGCGCAAGTGCCGCAAATTACTCCCATCTCATCGTTATATTTCACAACGGGGGTAGGGGGGGAAATGATTGGGGTTCTGGAGACAAATTCGGTGTGTGCAATTTATTTTTATTTTTTTAATTGCATCCCATTGGAATTCATTAAGTGTTAGAATCTTGTCCATGGGAATTTCAGGTCTATGGAGAATGCACGGACAAAAGCAGTTTTTTTTGTTTGCGCCAGCTGCTATTGTATGCAGACAATTATAATGTGGATTCTTTTTTTTTTACACTTTTAGCAATGGAGCGCAACCCACAAATTGCATTTCTTTTACAGCTCAGACTGCTCGCCGGGGTGCGCGACCTCCCGTAGCTTAGTCCCCGTCGTCTCGTTATTACGAGTCTTGTTGGACAGAATGTAAGCCAGCGAACGGCTTTGCATTCGGGAGAGGCTCGCGGAGAAAATTGCGAGAGCGTTGTGTACATTACGGGCGCTTGATCACAGGAAAAGTAGAACATTGCCTTCACACGGACTTAACCTGCCTTAGACAAAGGGGGCTTATTTGCAGACGTTCGCGCAAGGCGTAATCTGATGAAATATTTTACACGGTCGCTGGCTGCCATGAAAACCACGGCGAGCGTGAAGATTCTTTTTTTAACACGTTTAAGGAGGAGTTGGCCGGGCGGCTCAGGGCTCCAAGCGCTGAGCCGGCGCCGCTGAGGTCCTGGGTTCGAATTCAGGCAACCGCCTTTAATTAATTAAACATAGCTGGAAACTGGCCAAATTAAGTGCAGAACCGCATTAACTGTGATGGTATATTTCTTGCCATTGGTGACCGGCCTGGGGCCATCAACTCACTGGTTTGATTGTCACTCGACGAGCTTGACGAACATATGCGGGGCAGGGTGGGACCAGAGGTCACCGCAAGGCATCTCGAAGGTAGCTCCCCGATACCCACTTTTCGTGGGCCGTTCTCGCGCACGAAAAGGTTTGCAGCGCCAGATGAGAGATCCGAATGGCTTCCTTGGCTCGCGACTACACAGTCGTTGTTGCGGCTCGTTCTTCGGATGACATGAAATGAGGGGTGCCGCGGGTGGCGTCTCATTCGAATTAAATCCGTCGCCCGAGCGGGTTGCAGCTGTCTCTATCTCAAAAGAGCAAAGCGGCGTGATTTAGATCGGCACATTCTGACCATCGTCACGCGCCAATGATTGATGGCCACGGTGAGAGCGGCTTCCTGTTGACGTGGAGCACGATGAGCGGGTCGAACGACGCTACATTTTTGAGCGACGGTAAAAGTTTTGTGCCGACGTCACCAGTAATGTGTGACCTCTGTCATTTGCACGTTTTTGTGTGTGTTAAATACGTTTTATTAGCGCCAGCTATAAAACCCTTGCACAACAAACGCCAGACTTTTCCTGCCATTTCAATGAAGTGGAAAGTGTGAATCTGCGGTGCTTGCAGTAGCGGTGGTCTGGGAAGCCGAGTTACATTAATGGATCTCAGTGATTGATAGATGGAGCACGGCAAGATATATCTTTGATTATAATGTTTAGTGTGCTGCCAACTTGTGCGCAGAATAAAAATAGTGATGATTAACTATGAATGAGCTTGCAGCTTCTGGGCAAAAAACAAACAAACAATTGGATGCTTTTTAAAATTATCTAAGATTTGGGAGAGTGAATTATTTATAACGCTTATTAATTGGCAGCTGCTGCTATTTTCATTGACCGAACCACACAGGCCATTAACTCACGGGTAGAAATTCTGACATGTTGCCGAATTATTTGACTGACTTACTTTCCATACTAATGTTTTTTTTTCTGTTCAGTTGTCCGATATGGCATTATTTCGACAGATATGTTTGATTCAATAGTAATTGCTTTTATAATGAGGCATATTATTTTTGGGAGTTACCATGCATATTTAATGGAGTGATATTTTTTTCTGAGACAGAAATTCCCGTGGCTGACTAATTGCCCCTAATCTGGGTCCTCCTCGTGTTTTATTCGCTTAATGGGCTTCTTGTTAGCGAAGTTCACGGTCAAGTTTCAAGTTGGCTTTTGTTTCACTCAAGAGAGACATGGGACGAGTGTCATTAGCTGGATTTGGCCTGGGAGGACACTGCAATGACAAAAGAAAAACCAACGAAAATAAAGATGGCAAAAAAAAGTAAAAATCAAGCAGAACAAAATCCATGACTAAAAACAAAAACATGCATCACACGAGGAATCGAACCCAGTGCACATGCATGAATCAACGTTAAATCAAAGCTGAATTTTTCATTTCCTGCAGCGCAAATTGGCTCGGACTAATCACCTCCACATTTTATCATAGCACATTTGAAACACTAGGCTACTGAAAGGTTAAAACATTGATGTATATTGAGTATAGTACTAATATGTAAATATGCAAGAGAAGCTCAATGAATGCATCATGCATTGGTATATATATATGTGTATGTTGAACTTCTTTCGCACCGTTCGTAGCCAACCGCGCTAATCGGAGGTGCGGGGTAAGGACAACAAACTATGGGTATCTGTGTGAGTCTATGGGTCTCTGTGTGAGTCTATGGGTCTCTGTGTGAGTCTATGGGTCTCTGTGTGAGTCTATGGGTCTCTGTGTGAGTGTATGGGTCTCTGTGTGAGTCTATGGGTCTCTGTGTGAGTCTATGGGTCTCTGTGTGAGTCTATGGGTTTCTGTGTGAGTCTATGGGTCTCTGTGTGAGTCTATGGGTCTCTGTGTGAGTCTATGGGTTTCTGTGTGAGTCTATGGGTCTCTGTGTGAGTGTATGGATATCTGTGTGAGTCTATGGGTCTCTGTGTGAGTCTATGGGTCTCTGTGTGAGTCTATGGGTCTCTGTGTGAGTGTATGGATATCTGTGTGAATCTATGGGTCTCTGTGTGAGTCTATGGGTCTCTGTGTGAGTCTATGGGTCTCTGTGTGAGTCTATGGGTCTCTGTGTGAGTCTATGGGTCTCTGTGTGAGTGTATGGATATCTGTGTGAGTCTATGGGTCTCTGTGTGAGTCTATGGGTCTCTGTGTGAGTCTATGGGTCTCTGTGTGAGTCTATGGGTCTCTGTGTGAGTCTATGGGTTTCTGTGTGAGTCTATGGGTCTCTGTGTGAGTCTATGGGTCTCTGTGTGAGTCTATGGGTCTCTGTGTGAGTCTATGGGTCTCTGTGTGAGTCTATGGGTCTCTGTGTGAGTCTATGGGTTTCTGTGTGAGTCTATGGGTCTCTGTGTCAGTCTATGGGTCTCTGTGTGAGTCTATGGGTCTCTGTGTGAGTCTATGGGTCTCTGTGTGAGTCTATGGGTCTCTGTGTGAGTCTATGGGTCTCTGTGTGAGTCTATGGGTCTCTGTGTGAGTCTATGTATGGTATGTAGAACTTCTTTTGCACCGTTCGTAGCCAACTGTGCTAATCGAAGGTGCGGGGGAAGAACAAA